CTCCACTCAAAAATGTGTTTTGTTTCTTGTTGGATGTTCGACGTGTGTTTGACACTAGAAGGCTGTTTTCACAACTTCTGAATTTAAGATTATTTGCTCACCTTTCTGAGGAAATTTGAGTGTCTGAAAAGGTTTGATCTCAATTGAGATAAAAACATTTTTCACTGCCAAATTACAAAAATGTTTGATTTTGGTTCAAAACTTTAAAGAACGTTTTAGTAAATGCCCTTATTCATTTTCTTTCCAAAAGTTAGACAAGACTGTACAAAAAATATAAATTTAGAGGACAAATGAGGGAAACTGCAAGCCAAGCACATAATCCTCCATAACATGTTGCACTTTAATTGCATTGGTTAACCAAAGGACAAATGGTAATTAGTGAGATTTGCTGATTGATGTGGTTACATAGGTGTAGTTACATTTGTACCGAACCAGACTAGTTGTTTCCCCATTTCTTTTTATGCTAAGCTAAGCTAACTGGCTGCTGGCTTCATAACTATATTTCTACATTACTCTACATTAATTAACATTAGGTGTGCTAATAAATGTAGGTCCAGGGATTACTTTTTATAGGTTGACTCTGGGAACAAGACGATAAAGCTTTAATTTGATCTGTGCTTGAGAAAATGTTTTTTGTCTTTGTTTTAGATCAAAAAGTACTGCCAGCAATGCCAAATAGAACTAATAAAATGAAAACCAATAAAAGCGTATCACTTCGATTCAAACATTAACCTTTGACTGATTAAATTGATTCATGTTTTCTCAGTTTCAAAGTTTCAAAGTATCAAAGCACATATTTGACTCTTATGCCATATAGGAAAATTCAACAATGTTTCACCTCATGCCATGAACTTATTAACACTGCAGAAATAAGTGGACGGTGTAGATCATTATGTACTCTCATTTGCAGTTCAAATCAGATATCTTTACAATTACATAACAGTGGAATCAGCTGGCAGGGTTTTGAAATGACTCTTGTGTCTCAGGCCTCTTAACTCACGGTGAGACAGATGCTCTCACCCCAGAGAGGTTGGGGCCGTAATGGAGATATCACCAGGCAACAAGCTATCCAAATGGTGCAAAGAGCCAGAGCAAGAGCAGAATAAATCACCTGACCCTAGCCTGATGGCATAAATTTTAGCACCAAAACTGCCTGGGGAACATGTGAATATCAGAATTAAAGTAGTCATGAGAGTGTTGTCTGGCACTGGCTTACAGTGTGTGTGTGTGTGTAATTGTGTGTGTCTGTGTGTCTAAATGTAAGCAATGCAGCTTCAACACACATTAAAATTTGCATCTGTGAGAAGGTGGAGGCGCCTCTCACAGGCCCTCGGTGCTCATGTGAAACACAGGAGAGGGTGACTGACAACAGGGAGATGAGCCTCCTGGAATACTCATTAGGCTGCTAATCCTATGCCGTAACCATGATTTTAATGGGACTGTGTAAGATATTCTGAAGCAAAAAACAACTTCCTGTAGCTTGGCGAAAGGATGCATGCAAATCATCAGTATTTTATTGCAAATTCTTGTCCTGGTTTTTTCCTTTTTAAAAGCATTCTAACAGTACAGTGTGCAGCCCACAGAATGATCCAGCAAACACACACATGCAGCCTGTGACAGAGCAGCCTTAGCAGGTGGTGTGTATGTGGGTGGTGTGGGTGCTTAATATTCATCCAGGATGGCATCCACTTCAAGCCAAGATGGACTATAGATCATGACTCCCCACCTCCTGTGGGTCAGGCTTGCTTCCTCGCACAGGAAACAACAAGAGGAAAGAGAAAAGTAGTTCACTTTTCACATGAATTTCACAGTGTCCTCATTCTTTGCACTTATCTGACCAAAAATACACTATTTCGATTCTCTAATAATGTTTTTTTTGTCTTGCATTTTGCATGTTACGCTAAAACATTGTTCAGAAAATTTGTCTTTAAATTGGCTGGTTCCTTTCTCTGTTTTAAAATTGAAATAGACTGACTGAACACAGACAGCAAAAGAGAAAAGCTAGATCTAGTCTTTTCAGCCACTGCCAAAATTGAGGAGGAATGTGCTGATGGCTGGTTTTAACAGTTGTAATGCTTTTCATTTGTGATCTATTCTCTAAGTAAAGATTTTCATGTTTACAGGGAATTGATTTAAAATGTATGTACAGCACTTGTTTCAGTCTAATAAATAATGCATTTTACTGCATTTGAAACACTAAAGGATGTGGATTGATTATCTCTTTTATCTTCACTTTCTCCTACCTTTTAATCTAATCGCATAATCTAATCAATCAAGTTTCTTTCTGAACATGCATGCACTAGGAATGCTTGTAGCAATCACTAATAAATCTTCTCCAGAGCCTGGTCTGTAATTTTATGTGTGTGTGATTGGAAACGCTTCCTTCTTCCTATCTCCTCTAGCTTCCGTCCAGTGTCTGTCCTGCCTGGTGGTTGAAGATCTTGCTCAGGCCATCCCTCTCAAGTTGGTATGAGACAGGGTTGCCGTAATTTTCCTGGTCTTATGTAAGATTATCAGCCCAGTGATTCAGGGCTGACTGGTTTCACACTCTAAAACTCACAGTTCATCTGTGTTGTGCATGAGGTGGCAGGACTCTCAGGCACAAGCTGTGTCTCCCAGACGTGGTATGTCCAGATCCTCCACTTTTAAATGTCAGTCATGTCATTTGATTCAGAAGAAGGGTGTCGCACCGAAAAGGAAACAAGAGAAACGGACAGATTGCTCTGGATGGTGAGTCACGGAAGAGCTGTGTTCATTAATAAATGCGTGCATGTGTGTGTAAACACTTGAAGAAACAAGTGCCTCTCCTTAATGTGACAGATTTCTGCCAGTCTGTAATTAATGCACTATATATGGAGCTGAAATTAAGTTGGAAGATTTCTCCAAATTACCTGCATTCTCTCCGGTTCACGTGCCTTCATTATGGCTCTGTTTTGAAAAGAGCACTTGATCCATCACTGATCTTGTAATAGTTTGAGAGGAAAGACACTGCAATTATGTGGTATTATGAATCAGTCATACCATTATGAGCCAAATTACACTGGCCAACGTAGAGGTTTGACGCAATGCACAGAGAGAGCACAATGTACCAACGTTTTTTTATTCACGTTCCTACTGCTTATTGAACTAGTGGACTCTTCTCTTGTATTCAGTTTTGTCATTGTACTTTTCAAATATGCACATACCCACTTGCTATAACTGAAGGGTCAGGAGATGGTGTGTCATGTGTAGGATGTAAGATTAAACTAAATTCTGCAACAATCAACTGGACTGTCAAGCAGATGTTGGTTGGTATTATAGGGGTCATATAGGGGTCACAACCAGAAAAGATGGTGGGAGCCATTAGTCTAATATCTATCAAAGATAAACAGTTGCTGGCACAAATTCTCCAGTAAGGAGCATCAAATTGGTTCAACCCAGCCAATCATAAAAAGTGTCTTTGCAATATTTTGACATTTCTTTTTTTTTAAATTCAGTTCTTTCCATTCAGGTTTTTCTAACTCAGGTTAGGGCAACATGTTTGTAAACAAAAGGTTGTCAGTTTGATCTCTAGACCTGCAGGAAAAGCAGCTTCCCATACCTTCTTTAGCTTAGTCAGTGGTTATACAGGGCAGCTTTGCAGGTGTGAATGTGGGTAACTGTGTAAGCAAGCCATTTCTGAAAGGGAGCATTTATCTCAGTGAGCATTACATGTAGATTAGTATCCTTCTATGAACAGGTTTTTGGTGTATACTAATTATTATGCATAATATCATATTCTGGTTTCAGACACATGGATCAGAAATGTCAGATATATCCCAGAATGACTTACGGATGTGGTGGAGTCAAAAAAAACACATCTACTCTGATGCAGGTGATCTAGATTCTGTTAGAAGCATGTAAACAGTCCTATAAATAACCATATTTTTCCATGTTCCATGCAAACATCTTATTCCTAAAATGAAGACTGGATTGAAAGCATATTCAGTAAAACCTTCCTTGAAGAATAAAGGAAAACACACACATAGATAGTGAAAATTACAGTTTATTAAGCCCTATTCATCACAAAATGACAAAAAAAACTTACTGCAAAAGGAATATTGGTCTATTTCCATCACCATGGCTCTAGAGGACACTTGTTTCTGCAAAATGTTCTTAACAACCCACTTAAATCTCAGAGTGAATGCTTTGCTGTGGCTTCACTGAGTATCACACAACATGCGTGACAGATGGAGTCATTGTCTCGATTCAGCCTGCACACTCTGATAACCCTTCTTGCTGCTACATTTTTTGTGCTACATTTATTCCAATTTTTTAACTCATTAAGAGGACAGAAAGGGGACTGTGAGTACCAAACTAAGGCTTTTGGTGATGGACTTTCATCTGGAAGATATTTGTCACTGTATTAGAGTATTTTTCATTAGTCAAAAGGAAGATAAATAAAGAGTAAAAGCGAAAATGAAAATTATGTCTGAATTACCTAACTTTTTGCTCTACAGGACATCCATGAAAACATCATTATTGTTTAAAACTCTCAAAATAACTCTCTCTATGAATAGCACCTCTAAATTGAAATTTCACACAGAGCTTCCCTAATTGAAAACTCTTCTACTGTTCCATAGTTATGCTCCGATTGTAGGTTATGTAACAGGTCTAAAAAAGATATAAGAGTGGGGAAAAGTTAGGACAGGGTTACACTGAAGGGCCAGGGATCACATCTAACCCAGGAAGACATCTCCATAGAAGCCCACTCCATCCACCTTCTTGTCTCCAGCCTGATCAACCAGTTCAGGAAAGTGAGCCCCGACACACACATTGACAGCCTCCCTCACCTCTGCTGGAAGAGACCTCAATTTCTGCTCGTGCTCTTTCAGGGCCTCCTGATTGAGCTGCAGACACAGAGCCAAAAGTTAGTTAGAGGTTATAGGCTTGTTGAAAGTACACACTGATTGACACATGTTTATAGTTAATTTTCTCTGCCAGGTGCTTATCATAATCTTTAGAGAATGGATTTGCATATTGGCTCTGGTGAAAGTAAAGATCACTGCTAAGCTCTAGCTTGGGAGCTAGCTTGAACCCAGTGGCATAGACTGATTTTGAATAAGAAAGATATTGAGCTATCTTAAGGATAATTAATGATGCAACATTGTGCCTGTATTAGGGAAAATGGTACAATACTCAATCAATGATAAATACATGCAGAAAAGATTAGCTTGCATATTATCCTCATTTGTCCCTTAATCTATTAGCACTTCCCACTGCTTCTCTCAATATTAAAAACTGTATTTGTAAGCTAATACTACTGGTGAGACAGAAAAACATCCATCTGGCATTCACGCGTCAATGTCTGAACAATTCAACACCTCTTTTCTCAATGTCAGCTGCGAAGATTTCACCAATTCAAAGCAAAGCATTGTCATAAAAGTGCTCTGACATCATTTACAGCGGTGGAAGATTGGTCTGTATTTTTTGAGTCGGCTAAACTGGATGTGTCATGCATCAATATTACATATAATTACTAAATGGACAGATGGGCACATTTGATAGTGCATTCAAAAAATGGGGAATTTGTTGTCAGCATACTTTGGATTGTAGATATGTGTATTAATCACATATTTATCACAGTTTGGGGACCTTTTGGGAAGTAATTGGGGTAAAAACGGGACAAAATGCTTATGACCACAAGGTAAGCCATTACATTTTTGGTTAAGTTTAGATCAAGGGTTGGGTTTAGGCATATATAGTGGTTATGGTTGATGTTAGAGGAGTGAGGCTGTTTCCAACACATGAACATTTCCCAGGGGACCAAGAACCTTTTAAAAAACCCTGGAACTGAATCTACTTTTTGACTGGAGGAACCAAGGGCTCCATTTAGTTACTGTGCGATAGTTCCAGGTGGCGAAAACGTCCTTGGTCAGGGTGATGTTACTATGATGTACCAACGACCACCTTAACATTGCAGATTGGTAAACCTGCCATCGATATATTTTGTCTAGTCTACACGGACCTTCAAATGCATTGGAAAAGCAAACAGGAATGTGCTAAAGAAACTTTTAGTTCCTGGTTTATTTCCTATGAGCCATAGTTTTATTCTATGGAAATGTCAGAGTGATAGCGTGTCATCATGTGTACCTGATTAGGCAGGGTCTTGATTTCCTCCAGTGTAGCAGCCTGTTTCTTCATCAGCGCCTCTTGCTGTGAGCTGTAATCTGAAGACTGTAACAACACAATAAGTACAATACAACATGTTTTCACTGAAAAACATGATCGATCTGTGGTTTGAGTTTGTTCGTGTGTGTGCATGTGGTATCAAGTGAGAGATAAAGACTGTTTGCATGTGTATAAGCTGTTTGTCTGCTCATGTTCCTCCCTGTGAGTGTGTGAGTGTGTATATCTGGAGAGGAAGGCACCCACGGGATGCAACCTGAGCAAGAGAATCAATACATTTAAGTCACAACAGGTTGGACTTGTCCAATTCGGTTACACAGCCCCTATTGCACCCAGCCATTCAATACTGAGACTGTGCTGATTAAAAAGGTGATTGTGTTATAAATAGGTGCCGTAATTAATGGGCAACTGCTGATTAAGTAGATCAAAATGAGCTGCAATGCGACCCTAATGTGTGGAAGGATGAGGGGGGTTTGCTGCCAGCCAGCCCAGAGTCGATCGGAGAGGAGTGAAATGGCGGGGTCTTTAACCTAGATACAACAGGTCTGAATCTTGATGAGCCAACAGAGGAACAAGAGCAGAGCTCAGTGAGTCATCGACCACACGTGGATTAGCCTGCTCCCTGTAAACAGCTTCTGAGTAATGGACAAGCCTGGCCTATGGTCAGGACCCACTGCACTTTACTAAGTGGGTAAAAGGGTGTGTGTGTGTATGTGGATGAATGGTGGGTGTGCATGTTCATGTGTACTTACATTTCAACAATGTGTGTACATGTGTGTACGTGTGTACGTGTGTGCGTGTGGGTGTGCAAGCAAATATGTGGGTGTATGTGAAGATGTGTGCAGGTGCATGAAAGGAAAGCACTGTAACATGCCTAAGGTGATATTTTTTCCACGTTTTGTTCAGATCTTTAGATACTTGCTGATTCCTTGTAACCATAGTTACACTGTGTGTGAGCTGTAATGTTAATACTGTTTTAGATTCATGTCAATATGGTAAATTTACTGTGTGTGTAGCTTCAGACTTCAGTCGAAATCAGGTATGAATTTCCATGTGAATTGCTATTTCCTTTAAACTAATTGTTTGACATGCACGCTTATATGCCTTCTTGCAGAGAGTTAGATGAAAGGATTGATATCTTCTCATCTAACTCTCTGCACTACAGCGAATAAGCACATTTCCCAAAATGTCAAACAACTGTTTAACTGTTTTAACTGTACATGCTCAAAAAGTCTGCTACTTTCAACGAGTTTAAAAGGCTACTTACTGCACCATCAGACTGACTAGTCTCGTCCAACAGCTCTGTGCTCATTGCCTTTTTCAGCCTAAGAGAAGATAATTATAATTTTCAATTAGACCTCTTGTACATAATGTTAAAAATTCATCATATCAAGCCAGGCTTCATGTGCAATGCCACGTGTCAGAGGAAGAAGCTTCTCCTCATTTTGTTTTCTCATATTTCTCATAAGCTGTCACCGTGGTGAGAGGAATGGTATTGAATGGAAACATATAAAGTAACTGAAGGTCATGCTGTGAACTCACTTTGCTTTCTCTGAGGATGAACGTTTGGAGACTGTTTTCTTCTTATTTTCTTTGGTTTCACTGCAAAACAAAGCAAAGGCAGAAAGTAAGGACTCCTGTTTGATTTAACATATAAAAATCAAAAGTCTCCCTATAAACAAGCTTTTTCCTTAATACAAGAGTTGCAGGCTGTGTGTCTCTGATGTGACCTTTTCAGTGAAAGGAAGGCTTAAATGTGATGTTATAGTGTCTGTGTGGAAAAGGCAGATGACCAGGGCTGCCTTCGCTTCCCCACTGCTGTTTAAACACCTGTTGGATAATGGTTATCCTGAGATAACCATCTGCCAGCTGGGGACTTGGGATAACACATACACAAACATACACACACACCCTGAACACCATAAGCCAGCCAAGGACATTGGAAGACCCGCACATTGAGGTGATTCATTTATTATTTGAGGTATTGTCTTTGCAAAATGTCAAATGTTCTACCTCTGATGACACACACACAGACACACACAGTGTCACACTGAAATCTCAAGGCACAGATTGGACACACTCAGCAAAGCCCTGTGCACTCTCTGTGTGTACAGCATGTCCTAAATGTGTTGTATGTGTGCTCACACCTCTCCAGGGTCTTCAGTTCACTGGTGTGTCTCTCTGTAGCCATCTCCAACAGTTTGGCCAGCCTCTGTCACAATAGAAGAAGGAAGTGACACGATCACAGTCAGGATAAAGCTAGAAAATTTGACTTGAGTAGCTCTAAATAACAATGCCCATTTGCGTGTGATTAACATCTCTCCTCTTTAAGCCAAACTAAAGTTCAGCCCTCTGTTGTTAATTTGCATGAACTCTGGCTTTAGGTTTGATTAGAGCACTTGGCCCAAGACCTGCATGTGTGATGTTAACTCTCATCTCACTCCACAGCACTTCTACACTACAGTCTACACTTTCTCTAATGAGGTGGCAACCCTTGGAAAATTACCTGATTGACCCCTCAGTCTCATACAGATTCAGAGCTTATGCTAAAAGCACCCCGGAGCACCTGCAACTGGTGTATAATCAATAGATCCTCTAAAGCCCTGGCTGCTCGCCCGTGATCCCAGGCACATAACGCAGAGAGGTAAAATAAGGTTTTCCATGAGAGATGTGAATACATACTGAACTATGGAAATGAATCCTATTTTTGGGATGAATCATTACAAGTAATAAAGACAGCCAAGAGGTGGGTATGAGGAGAGTGGTGGTTGGATGAGGATCACATGAGAAGAGGTTACAACAGGACAAGCAGCATATCTAGACTTTCAGGTACCCATTTAAAAATCTTCATATATGAATGAAATGTAAAAATAGACACTGTTCTTGACTGTGCTTGAGAAGAATATTCAGCATAGGGGAATAAAAATAATTATCTTCAATGAAAAAGTATGCAGGCAATTTATTCTTGCAAAAAGGTTCATTTGACAAATAGCAATAGTTTTTCTGATAATAAAATCAAACATAAAGGCCCCTCTTTTGCTACACATGAACCTACTTCTGATAAGATGGCAAAATAATTGATGAACCATTTAGTTCAGACTTTGAGGGGTGACAGTTACAAGTAAAAATCCTCTCAGTGTTTGTTTCAGTATCATCTACAAAATGTTCTTTGCAGGTAGTGTACAGTTTTTAGACTTTTTCATTGAACACTAAACTGACACAGTAAAGTTGCGGACTGAAACAATGAGCTGAAAGACACTAAAACACTCTGTATGGCTGAGGGGAACTGTGTGTGGGTTTGTCACAAGGGAGGCCTTTCACTTTACACATAGCCATTTGTTAATAATACAAATATTTTTTGTTGTTTGTGTGCAGCTTTCACATTTTTGAATGAGCCACCTTTTAGGAGTTTTTAACATAAATCTGTATTTTACCAACCTCTGTAGCGCACTGCTCTTTCTTCTTCTTCAGCTGATCACACTGCTCTGTCCACAAAGTGTGCAGCTCAACCTGCATTTTTTCCTTCTGATCCTTCACCTGGTCCATCTTTACACTGGAGTCAGGGGTGTTTCCCCCTCCGCTTGAGAAAACATAACAAAATAACAGGACGTATGCAAGGGGAATAGAGTTTATCGACTAACAGCCACTACCCCTACAAGTACAGAAATGAATATAAAACCAAGTGGTTGCTGGAAATCCTACACAGTGCTGCTCATTTGCCCTTGAATAACTGAAAGCTTAGTGTGGAGGCCTGTGCACAAAAAGCACTGCGGCACATATTCATTTAACCGTTCTCTTCATTCTAATATTCTGCTTCAGATAGAAAAACACATTAGCCGAGGAGTATTCTCTGTGTATGATCTCATTAATGACACTGACCAAAACAACAACAACTTAATTAGTGGGTCAATATTAATATGCTGTAGAATTCACTGCTACTGTAGATAACAGAACAGTCTTTGCTGAATGACTAAACATAAACAATTGGACAGACGGACCTAACTTCTCGGAAATTATGACACGACACCCCTCCTTTGTCATTGCTATCTAACTGTCCTTTGTCAAACATTTTTTCTCCTACCATATTTCAGTATGTAAATATATATTTCAGTAAACTGACTCCCAAAAGCACTGTGACCACAAACGGGAAACAAATAAGTTCCCTCACTCTTTTTTCTTCACCGAGGTCTTCTTCTTGAGGGCCTTGAAGGAGTCAGAGTATTTCTGAATCAGATCCTCTCCTTTTTTCTGATACTTCTTTTCTGTTTCCTTCATCTCTTTCTCCTGACGCTTGATGACCTTCAGATAGTTCTTGTGCTGTGTCAGTTCTTCAGTAGTCACAGTTGAAGGCTCTGCAGCAGAAACACACAGGGCTTTGTTGTAACAATCCTCCTGCTTGTGTCTGCAGTGGATATGCATTTATAATAAATTAAACTTGTCCATCCAACAGCAAAAAAGCCTGAATTGGTCTGTAATTTCCCTCTCAGGGATAGTGGTGGAAGAAGGATTCAGATATTTTACTTAATAAATGTATCAATACCACACTGAAAATCCTCCACTATAACAGTCTTGCATTCAAAATCTTAGGAAGTGAAGCTATGTAAGTATTATCAGCAAAATCTACTATAAGTATCACAGGTATTGTGCCTGTCCCATGATATATGATGTTTTGAAGTAAATAAAGTAGATCAGAAGATCAGATATTTTCCAGCTAATCTAAGAGAGGTTTAAAGACTTTATTTAGCTTAAGTAGTAGTAGAATTTTCTGAACTCATAAAGGAACCATCCTTAGGTTTATCAGAAAAAGTTAAATTGACCAAATATGGAGATATGTGGTTTTTACTGGATGGAAGGGCATGAAAAAGTACCTCAAATAATAGATTTAGTTACATTCCACCACTGCTCAGGGATCTTTACCTGCAGTGTACTGACAGAATGGAAACTGTGATGAGTACAGCACATGAAGCACGTACCCTCGCTGCATGTCGGCGGCTGAGATGAGTCATCTGGACCTGCAGATTCGGGTGATGTACTTGATGGACAGGGAACAACCGCAGCGGCAGGCTCTTCAGCAGCACTGACAGCTTCTGTGCCTGGTTTATCATCTGAGGCAGGCTCAGGGTTTGGAGTGGAGTCATTAACCGGCTCCTCTTTGGTTTCAGGAGCTGCTTCTGGCTCTGAAACCACTTCCTTCTCAGGGGTTGCCTCTTCAGTAGCTGCCTCTTCAGGGTGAGGTATGGCTTCAGGAAGGGTTTCAGATGTGGTGCTTTCTGCATCTGGGGCTGGATCTTCAGCAGGAGTGGCGGCAGGAGCTTGAGGAGGTTCTGCTTCAGGTTGTGGAGTGTCAGTTTTGTTCTCAGCCTCTTCTTTAGCTTCTTCTGCATTTGCTTCTGGTGGAGACTGAGATGTTTCGTCTTTGGTTTCAACTGGTGGTTTAGGTTCGGTTGCTGCCGCTTCTATGGGAAGTGGAATGTTCAGTGATCAAATACAGCCTCTTAATTCAACACTACAGACCTGCTACTGCAAGAGCCATAGCTTTCAAAAATGAAGTCTGAACGGTGTCCCTTTCACAAACTTACCTGCAGCAGGGGCTTCATTTTCCTTGGCTTTGTCCGTGGGGGTTTGGGCCACAAGAGGCAACTCATAGGGAGAAATGTAGTCGGAGGATGACTGTGTGGACACAAAATGATAGGACATCATCATCTTCCATGAAGTTAATTTGTGTTGTTAAGGGTTTAAGAGAGCTGTGGACATTACTGTTATGCCAGTTTAAATAGATGATGGATAGATACAAGTTAAGTTTCCTTTAGTGATTACCTCCTTTGGAGTCTTTGTGGTCTTCTCTGTGCCCTTTGTTGGGTTAAATAAGGCATCTGTGAAATCTGAGGTAGAACCAAATGTGTTAGTGCCAAATACAGGAATAATTCATACTTAAACCAAATAGAAACTCAACTAAACTAAATAAGTCTTGTCCCTGACTTTCACCCTAACAACATGAATTCAGTTGTAGAAGAGGGTTTTTCTTTTGCAAATACTCAAAGTGAAAAAGCCAAGCACCTGCAAAGGCAGCAGGGATGTAGTCCTTGACCTCAATGTACACAAAGAGAGCAGGCAGAGTGAGCGGCATGTTGCTCTCACTGCGCAGGCAGATGTGTTGGAAACCTGCAGGGCATAAGGCAAACCTCTGTGAATTAAAGCAGCTCCCCTGATCCAGAAACTGGCTAAAACACATTAGCAAACATTCTGGCCTTGGATGTCTCAGTGGTATTTTAAATTATGTAGATTAGATGAAGCATGAACATGAAGGTTTTTTTTTCTCAGTTTCACTGACCTGATTGGATGGCATCAAGTGGAATGATCCTGTGTCCTAAGAATTTACCGTTCTCTTCGTGGACTACAATTCTTAGAGAGGCCATTTCTGGGAGCAGGATCTATCCATCATAACAACAACAAATATATTAAGAGCAAAAGCAGCTACAGCAGCAGTATAGGGTCAAAATGGTTGAGCTCACACAAACACATTCACCTACACATTTACTTCCTTACAAGAATAACCCGGTTAAATAAAGGTTTAAAAATAATACAATTTGAACATGTTTCTCTTCTGACTGATACACACCTTCTCAAAAACAAAAGGCTCCTCATTCCACACTGGGTTAATGGCGTTGGGTGTGGTGGACCACTTGGTGCGATATTTCTTCTTAGGGTCTCCTGGCAATCCAATCACCTCCACCTCGACTCCCGTTTTCACGTTCTTCTCTGACAGAAACTGTCCCGAATAGATCTAGTGAGACAGGTGAAGGACATACACGTATAAAGAGGTTAACAACAGTATGGGTGTGGATGTGTCCTGTTCAATTGTTGTGTGGACCAATGTTCAGGACACAGTGGATATAAATAGAGCTCAGGTTTTCACTCATGAGGAGTCTGCTGAATACCAGGAACCATGTATCACTCTCAGCATGACGCTTGTATTATTACGGCCTCTGCATCTAAACCAGAGGGAAAACCAAGCAAACATGGCTATACACAGACTGACTTCCCAAGGCTATTGTGGCTAATTTATTGCTCAATTTAGAAGAGCAAAAACAGTTGTCAATGCATTGTTTGTGCATCAGCTTTTTTCACTTTTTTAAACTGTTTTCTTTTTGTATTTGGTTGGCACAGTTACTACAATCCCTATGCCAAACACGCCACAGGGATGCATAATAATAACAAGGCTGTGAACCTGCCTTTATGGTCAGTGTGCTTGCCACAACTGTGTCAATCCTGTCACAGAAAGGGTCAAACTTCTTGTCACTGCGACGCAGAACATCGTGCTTGAGCAGGTAGCCCGTTCTGCCATTGAATTCAAACAGAGCCATGTTCAGCTGCATGGGGAAATCTGAAAATAGACACAAACAGACCCATTCATGCCCCCTCTCTTCAGCACAAAGAGGAGCAGCGAGCCTTTGGGATGCAAAGCACAGCAGAGGCCTGTGCAGCAAAAAGAGGTGCAACACTGACCTGTTGTGGTGAAAGACAGAAGCTCAGGTTTAAAAATGAAACAGGATATGTCAGAGTGAAGCAGAGATTTAAAAGAAACAGTGAGTTTTCATGTAGTGCAACACATTTATGATATTTTAAGTGGTTATCAGGGCATTGTGTGTCTATTTCTACCCATCGTCTGGTAGTTGAGCGCCACCATCTGGCAGCCCACGTTCCAAAAAGGCTGAGGGCTGTAATTGGATGAGTCCATTCTTGTTCCTTTGGGGTAAATCCTGCTCATCTGCCTCTTATTGTATCTGAGAAAGATGGTTTAGGAGGCACAGTTTTATATCTTTGTATTTGTACGTGCACCAGGATACTCTTATGACAGCATAAAAAAACAAAATGATAATTAGCCCATTTAACACCGGTAGCCTTATTTTGGAGCAACATTTGCAGCACTCTTAAAGGATACTCGACGAATTCAACGGCAGTCTTGGCAATCATTGCCTCCCCTTTGGTCTCCACAAAAGATGAGATGACGTAACTCTTGTTTTTCTCTGTGAGAATAAAAGAAGGGGAGGAAGAATTGCACAACTCACAATGACTTTGATTTTGTTACATGTGTTTTTTTATGTTGTAAAAAAATCTATTTTGAGTTAGGGTTAAATGAAGACATACTCCTGGCATTGTCAAAAGAAATGAATTTGTTGGGCTGGATGTAGTTGACCAGGGATGACATTGCCTCATACGCTGTTACTTCTTGTCCAGCTGTGCCCTGTGGGGGATTGACAGGAAGTTAAGTGACGTTTGAGCTGCTTTAGCAGGACACGCATGATGTGAAGCAATAAAAGTGTCATGACCACCGAATACTCTACCTCATCTGATGTCTTCATTTTCTCCTCATCCTGTTCATCTGTCTCCTCTTGCTCCTCGTTGTCTTCCACAGCTGCTTCCCCCTCTGGTTAAACATGTAAACATAATGTCAGTGACACAGGTCTGGTTTTGGAACGTAATCTGATTTGGCTTGAGGTTCATCTAGTCAACCTTGATTCTCCTGGGGGCTGGGGGCTGGGTTGGCAGGATCCTGTGAAGGGGTGTTTGGGTCGGGGGCAGGTGCAGCTGTGGTTGTGGTTGTGGTCTGTTCAGTGGCTGCTGTGATGGCTTTTTTAGTCTGGGCTGGCTTTTCATGGCTACCCTTCTTGTTCATGATGAGGATCTTGCCCATGAGCTCAGATGGGCTGGGGATCTGCTGGCCTGGCTTCAGCTGGATGTTACAGAAAAAACAGAAAAGAAAATTAAAACTAACCTGTGGTAAACAGTGACAAAACAATACTTGTTCAGGGCTGTAACTACTGTAAACATTGAGGACACCAATGTCAAAATGCAATTGTCTTTGGGAATGTGGGGATTTCAAATAAATAGTTTGAAATGTTAAACAGTAAGGATCCATCGATACAACTCTCATAAATGAAGCTACAGCCAGCCAGCAACAGCTTAGCTTATCTTAGTTTAGCTTAGCTTAGGTCAGCACAAAGACTGGAAGAAGCTAGTCTGGCTTGAGTTCATTTCGCAGTCGGGCCCAGTGACTTCCTGGAGTCTGGTTTGCTGGTTGCCTGGCAACCTCACAGCTACAAGATTCCTGTACAGTTTGTATTCAGATTAAACAAATAAAATGAAGAAGGTGTTGGTAGGCTGACTTTTTAAACTTTAGACGGAGCCAGGTTAGCTGTTTCCCTGTGAAACAACCAGAGAAGGCATTTACATTCTACAATTATACACACATGGTAGTTTATTAAGGTAAATTCTGAATTTAGACTCATTATCTTTACAGGTAACAATTTAAGCGACGTTATTGTACACCAAAAATCTTAAATGAATTTCTCCTGTAGAATTATATTGCAGCGCTTTAAGGCGAATACACAGTGTTGTTAAACTGTAAACACCTAAATTGTTTTTTCTTTTCACTAGTCTGAAAGAAGACATGGAAGCAAAACAGCCCAAAATGGACTGTTGCATGATAAAACAATGTTTTTGCCTGTAGTGTCTTGCCTTAAAAATGCATTAACATCATCGTGTCAGAAGATAACATTTTATGGTGTCAGACCAAACTTGGGTAGGGAGAATTTTGAATCATAACTAGTTTCTCTGAAATCCTGGCCATGGCCCTAGTAATATTTGAGATGGTTTAACATGTCCGCACTTTGCCTCAGGAATACAAACACACTCCTCCGCATAACACACACAGCTGAGAGGAGGTGAACAGACGTTGGCTGTTGATATGAATCAGTTGGATGGGTACAGGAGCCTATGAGAGTCATGTCTAGCAGAGATAAGAAAGAGTGCAAACATGAAACATCGCCATTTATTGCCTTCATGCTAATGTGGTTAGACTGCAGAACTCAGCTGAACCTCACAGTATAACAACAGAACAATAACATAGTCTTTTATCTAATTTATCACACAAAGTCTGTTTAACTAGCCCCAATATATCAACTTTATCTAACTCTATTATTTTGACAGCGAGCTGTGTTGCAGCAGGGTACTCACAGGGTATTTGTCCAGTGGCTCTGTTAGCAGGGCATCACCAAATATGGTTTTGCAGTAGTTTGCCATCTTCTCCTGCTGTTTTACCCTGGAATAAAACAGAGTAACACCTGTTACAGTCTGCTGTTGCTACCAGAACAAATATTCAATTATATCATCAATATGTTCCATCTATATTCCATTATTTATAATGACATCAGAACATAACTACATTGTGTTAATAACATTACATGGCATGAGATCATGGAAAAACTCTGGTCTTACGAGTCAACATGGTTCTCGAATGAAAGGATTATGGGATACTGTGAGGTCTTGAAGGCACTTTCAGCAATGGCCTCAATCACATCCTGTCACACATCAAACAGAGACAGGTATGTTTGGTTTTTGTGCATTTAACTAGACTTTTATTGAATTCAATTAGGATTAAAGAGAGAGCTATAGAAAACAAAAATAAACCGATGATATAGCAGCAAACAGCAAAAAATATGGGTACAAATAGAATAAAATCATGAAAATCACATAAAAGCCTGAGACCAATAGATTGAGACAATCACGGCTTATCTTTGAAAACACAAAAAGAGACAACATGACGAAAATGGCAGAACTATTGGTTCTATGCAGAGGCCTTGAAGTCAGCTCCAAACTCACATCTCCGCAAATCCCATCTAGAGGCTGACAGTTAACTGAACTGAGGTGTTGTGTCCCTGCCCTTAAATGGAAGTGTTGAGTGTGAGAGGATGACAGGGGCGCCTGCCTGTGTGTGTGTGTGTGTGTGTCTGTGTAGTACTGTGTACTTTTAAACCTTCACTCTCTTTTGCTCTTTAATGTGCACTTGGGCATGATCAATAAATGTATAGGCTTTTAATAATATCCGTGACACATTTCTACACTCTTTTGTTCGTCTGGCAAGTGTGTAAATGAAGATGTCATATTGAAACAATGCAAACTGTGCTTACAGGAATCTGGAGGTTGGCCATTTACTAGAAAAGGTCCAAGACTTACGATATTCACCGGAAGTGGGTTGGACTTACAACAAAAGCTGTGATAAATAATCTATACTGCTTCATTTTGTGGATTCAGTTATTATTTGTCATGAGTTTAACTGTCAACAAAATATACAATAACATTAACATACTGAGAACATAATATTTTAATCATGTACTTAATAAAATAATAAAGCATGATTTGTATTTGTACTGCCGTCTTTATAATATGTGTATATAATGGGAGGAGGTCCACATGAATCTAAAGCTGGTCTGAAGACTTCCAAGTACTACCCAAGAAGGTAAAAAACGGGCCATATTAGCTAGCTGGATACACTGTATACTACATTTTATGCAAGTTATGCATGCAATGAGAGGGGGGTCAGATAAAAATAAAGTGTCAATGACAAAAGCTTCTGATGAAAATCTGAACACAAATAGTACTGCAAAAATGTACACATTATCTGTTCATATCCAAACAATTTATTTGTATTAAAAATTATTATTATTAATTATTATTAAAATACAAAAAGATCTGTTTCAAAAAATTGTATTTGATGCAAAATATCGTCAAAAGTCAAAGGTGCCCACAGATTTATGGTTGAGCAGGTTTTGGGGATTTTTTGTTGTTTTTCGGCTGTTTTGTTACGTATGATGTTAGTAATGGAATTGCACTTCCTGTAGGACCCAAAGCCAGACTCAGTTTGAGACCCCAGTTTAGATTGTATGAGATCCAGATGGTTAATGTATCAAAGGGAAACTAAAACGTAAAATGTTGAGTGACCAGTGAAAATTAGTGTATGAGACCCCAGTGAAGATGTGCCAAAACACCTTGAAAAGGATCTCAGTCGTCATGGTGAACCCGTGGGTAATGATGGGCTCTTCATCTGGAGGTTTGCCCTTCCAACAGTCCAACTCCAGACAGCGGCAGCCAGATAGCAGACACTGACGGTACATCTCAGGAGAGGACACGCCAGAGAACTGACCAGCTGCAGGGTAACAGACAGAAATACTCTGAAAATTCATGAGTATGAGAATTTATGAACTAAAATCAAAGTGGTGTGTATGCGACCTGTCAGGTATGTGTTGTGGGAGGACTTGATGAAGTAATGGGGTATGGGTTGGCTCATGTCGTCACACTTGGCCAGTCGGTCCTGCATGACAACTGATGTCTCCGGCCCCATCAGGAAGAACAAGAGGCCTTCTGGAGAAATCAGACCTGCAGATGATCAAGAGAGATATGTTAGAATTTTCAACAAAAGTACAAAAGCATTATCCATCTCGTATTCATCAAAGAATCTCACTTCTGTTTGAATTAGAGGAGCAGGGTTCATATTTGTCAATCAGAGCCTTGATCTGGTCCTGCCGCAGACGTGGAAACAGCTCCTCGTTGAGTCGAGAGTCCCTCTGTTTCTCGTTGAGGAACTTGGTGAAATTCTCCTTTGTCATGGTGGGTTTGTTGGAGCTGGAGGGCAAAATGAGGCGTGACAATCGCATCAGTGCTCCACGTAATGTTTCTCCTGGCTTACTATCTGCTACCTGAGCCTGAGCCAGGTAGCTACTATAATGCACAAACTGGAGGTTCAAGCATAAGGCCTGTCATCAGGTATGTCTGGCTTTGTGCTACCAAATTAGAATATGTAAAGAAGCATGCTTCTGGCTACTAGACACAGAATTAACTGAGAATTTTAGAATATGAAAGAAAAATATGATCAGGATATTTGTGGAAATAAATGCAAGACAGAAGAGAATAATATGAAGAATAATATGTAATTTCAGCTATGGTAGATAAGAAAAACTGCAGGATGTAAAAGGATAAATCAAGGATTATTCAGGCATATCACAAGATAATCAGTAAAGCACAGAAGAGGAAGACTCACTAGGAAGTGAAAATCTCATAAATCTCAGGCCGAGGGCAGAGATTTGACAAAAAGGCCTTGAAGGCAGTCTCGGTGAAGACATCAGGCTTTATGGTATCATACTAAAATATAAAAAAAACATATGTCATTGAATGATCAAAACCTGTTTGCTACTGCAAAGCCAAAACGCACACACATTTGACCTTTTTTGGTGCATTTACACAGGAGTTTGGGTGTCTTATTACACATTGAAATAACAGTCAAGGATAACAACGGGACATTATGGGGAGAGGTGTCAAAATCTGCAGTAAAAAGTCTTGATGGACAGATGGACTGACAATCAATCCACCAAAATGTCTATATTATCTAACCTTTCCTTTTGGGAGGTGTGCTGATGCTAAGGCACTTTCCACTCTCTTCTTATCCGCAGGGAACATCTTGTAAATGCTGAAAAAAAAAAACACAGTCAAATGTTGAGTAGGAAATATGGAAATCTACTGTATAAACTAACTGTTTGTTGGTGTGTGTGTATGTGTGTGTGTGTTTCATCCTACACCTTCAGATGGTTGCACTGTAACCTACTTTTTCACTGGGATCTTGCCGTCCTTGTTGGTGTGAAGAGAAAGGCGCATGTATCTAAGATTGAACACAAAGGCTTTCAGTCCAACACTGTGTTTCACACACTGAAAAATAAAGTGTACCATGTTCACTCAGAAACAATACAAGCTGACCTGTCAGGTGACATGATGTTCACTTACATTTTCTCCAGGAAGACCTGTCTACACGCATTGTTTCTTGCAGCGTTGTAGGCAATTGCAAGAATGTCATTTGCCCAGTTCTGTTGCGCATTGAATTACAGACAAAAACAGTGATATTTACTTTCAATGTCAACATGAATTGTGCTTGAAATGTCATTAGCCCTAAAACCATTAAAACCAGATTTTAAATGGACTTGCCACTAGGGGGCATTAATATGATAGTACCTCAGGAAATGAGAGTAGTGCATGTTGTGTTTGAGCAAAGTACAATTGTGATTTCATTACAGTTGATTAAATCCGGATATTGGAGTCATAAAGTCTAATAAAGACTAAAAGGGAGAGAGAGGGCACGTTATTGGTGGGTAGCAAAAGCTCACTGTCTAATGGCTAATGGCCTGTGGCTATGTTTGAACAATCAGAGGGGATTTGAAAGGGAGGATTGTAAACAGCTAGAGGAAGGACACGGTGCCAATAACACACAGAGCCAGTGTATACAGCGGCTTATTACCTGTGTCACTTTCTCCTTAGAGGCAAAGAAGTTGTGATAGGTCAGATTCACGGTGTCTGGACCTGAGACGATGGTAAATATTTTGGCAAGATGGTTGCTGTCTGGGAAGTCCAGGTTGAACACGTTGCGAACCTTGGGGTGCTGTGAAAGGCAGAAGAAGAACCCAATTAGATCTTATTGGTTCCAAATATGATGTTTAGGCTCTTTAATGACTCATTTTTTTATTGGTTCACCCTATATTTGCTTAAAGAATTTAAATCATGCCTCTGTTCTTCTGGGAGCTTGTTCAACACAGGCAAATTTGCTGACCAAGACATGCAAACATATGCACATCTGAGGCACATGCACACTCTCTTACACACACGCACACATGCACGTTCATATACAACACAAACAGCAGCAAGCTGGCCAGTGGTTTAGGTACTACCTTCCTTCATCTGCCACTCTACAATGAATCACTTGTATGCCACGTTCAAATGTGCAGAGCTAACATCAGCACTGGAGCCGCTTTCCCAAAACTCCTCAGGGCCCCGAGAGGAAGATGTGCTTCCAGCAGCACCCCAGTCAGGGATGATGTAGAGCTCGGCCCTCTCCCTGAAGGGAACAGATTTCAGATTTCACCTCTGAACCCTCAGTGAGGGATGACGATGGTTGCAGCATACTGCAACTCTCTGCAGAGGCCAGCGAGGAAGCGGAAAAGGACTACGCGGAAACGCAGACGCTCACTTACAGAAATCTCAGATCATGACTCAGTGTGACGTGTGTTTCTGTAGTGGGAGAATAGCCTGGGTACATGTGTCCATTGCCATTTTTGCAATGCAAATATGCCTCTCATACTAATGGGCAAACTAAGGGGTTGACACCCTATTTGCATGCCGCTTGCAGAGATTCTTACATAACAAAGTCACCACTTTAACTTAATTGGATCAGATTTTAGGTTACTACATTAAAGAATGATACTGAACTTACTTTGGGAAGTTTTGCATATTTCCCTGTTCTGGTATCTCTGATAGTAGCAACATCCAGGAACGTTGTTTCCTAGAAACAAGAAGCAGAAATCATCTTCGATACTGCATTCAACATGTAGGCACCCGTCCAAATATGGGTTTAGATACAAGTCATCCTTTGGCAAAGTGCAAAAACTATGTGATTTACTTTTTTTACTGTTTACTGTTTGTGTGAAGAATATTTGACTGCAATGTCTTTTAACATCGTGTAGGAAAGTTGGAAGGGACAGTCACATTAGCGCTTTAAAGTCAACAACAGCATGAGCCCATACACAAACGTTCAATGTATGCCTCACTGGTTTTGTGATATGATGAAAACCAGAAGGTGCCTCAATGAGAGAGAAAGAGAGACAGAGATAAAACAGAAAAGACAGATAGTCCTCTCCATGGAGTGTGCATCACTGTTCAGCTGCACTGTGCAGCAGGATGGTGAGCCCACATCAGCACCAATCAATAATCTCCACAAGCTGCTGGGACCGAGGTGCAATGCAGCTTTCAGCTATCCCACAACTTTGGCAGATCCTGATTACATGCACATTACACACACACACTGGATGTGAGTCACTGAAACATGACTACTTCTATTTGATCTATCTTTAAATCTGTCAGGTTGTTTTTGTCTGATGCAAAAAAGCCATTTCATTTCTATTAGCCACTTAACACTTCCCTGCACCTATTGACATATTGTGCAAGGGCAGGTTTCTTCTCTTTTTCAAACTCTAGATATTGATTACCTTGCTTTGGTTGATCCAGTAGACATAAAAGCCTTTCGGATCCATCTTCATGGTGACAGGAACAGTCTTGGTGGAGTCCTTGATGGAGACAAGGGAATTAGTTTTCACACATTTTGCACATTTATTGAGTTTGAACCTCTGAAACAGAGCTGCTAGATGATGATGTGTTGATAGTAAATCATATAATTTATGCTATACAACTACCTACATTTTCCAGAACAGTTCATTATATATCACTGATTAAAGTTACTATGGTGGGATTCAAATTAAACTAATCATCAGTTCATCAGGAATGGAAAAATAAAAACTCACTGTACAGATTTTATTGAAATATTCACTCACCTCTGACCATTTTGTAAATCTCTCTCCTTTGACCAGGTAATCTTTGACCTCTGGTTGCTCCAGAAAGTGTCTTTTCTTATTCATCTTTCCCTTCTAGTGTGACCTTTGTCACAGTTTAATGCTATAACTGAAATATATCCACTCTCAGCCTGCACACCATCCCTCCATCTGTATTCAAAAGAGACACTAAAATGCAGTTTAGTGCATAGACTCTGACTGTAGTCAGGAAACACCCCGGGGGAATATGCATTGCAAATGAGGTTGACAAAAAAACAAAACAAGTAACTTGACTAAAGGTGAAAGGTATCAAGCTACTATGAATCTGAACTCTGAGCATCAAGTATCTGCAAAAAGACTGGTTTATTAAAGGGTTAGTTCAAAGTTGACTCTGTGTTTTGTGGCTTGAGTGATAAATTAAGTTTCATAACTAGGATCAGGAACAAAGACCATGTCTTGAACTTATCTCATGTCCACACAAAAAGTACTTAAGCACCCCTTATCCGTTCACTTCCTCTTCGACTCGACTTCGTTTTCAAGTCCCTTCCACCAAACCCCTCTTTTTCTTTTTCCCTCTCTGTCTTAGAGCAAGGAAAGACAGCTCCCACACTCCCAGCTCCCTCACAGTCCATCTTCCCACTGCCAGCTGACACAGTCCATCTACAGACTCCTCCATCCATCCGTCTATGACCCTGATATCCTGGATCCCCCCATCCCTTCATCCTTCACCCTTCATCCCCTTACCCCTTCACCCCTTCATTCACCTTTACATACACCTTTATTCTTTATGCGCAATAAATAATTCTAATTGTATATCTTGTCTTTCTATTCTATTCTATTCTATTCTATTCTATTCTATTCTATTCTATGCCTTTGTTGTTTGTTTCTAGATGTGTGTACATTTTCAATTTTGTGTGCATCAGATATAAAACTCCTTTCACCTCCATTGTATTGATGAGGAGGCAGAAATCTCACACATGGACATCTCAAAACCTGGCAAATATATTCAGAAGTGTCTGAATGTCTAGACACCATTAGAGATAAGTGAGAAAATGTTTTCCTTGTAGTATGGGTGAACTGATCTTTTAATAAGTGATTTTGACTGCTGCTTTTCACACAGTGATTCTGAGTTGCCATTTGCTATCAACATATTGATGTTTGTTTATGGCTGCAAAGTAAAACTTGAAACAATGTCACTAGAAATGGAGGAAACAGGATGTATAAACTGTATGAAACATTACTTGTTAGCTTATTTATCTTATTGATTAATGTTGTTTTTGTTCAATGTAAATAAATGGCTGCTCGCAGCTCCACATATAGTAACATTTATATCAATACCAAATCTTAATTTACTCATCAGCTTATTGTTTTATCAAATTATGCCACAACCACCTGTCCAGGGCCATAATGTAGTGTCATTCATTACTCCAGACAGGACACTGACTGCTGTTTCAACAAAAGATTCCCAGTCATTTGGATATTATTCAAATAAACCTTAAGACCGTGCAATATCCAATGCAAACATTCTGCCAGTCAGGGACCAGACGATTGATGTTTGACAAACTGCCAGAGACTGTTTATTTTAGATGACTCATGATTCTATGAAAATGAACAAAAAAGAGGAAGAAAACTCCACATTACAGCTGATCATCATCCTCTTCCTACTCCCTATATTATAAAACATGGTAATGAAAACAATAAACCTTTCTGCAAACACCTGAATGTCAGTGTATGTGGGCCTGTGGGAGGATGGCTCGTCTCCTGTATCAGGATTGGCTGCACAGTTGAAACATTTAGTTTTGTGAGAGCCAGTCACAACAATGTACTTTATCCTTAGTCATTGGCTTAGTAGGAATGTTACAACACAGTCATATTATGATCATAATTTTACCATATACGGGTTTTGTGACACTATTTTTTTTGGGCCATTGTTGTTGTTGTTTTTTTGTTTTTTTGTGGTCCAAATCATGTCACAATCATGTGACTTTTGACATTCATGGTGCGGGTTACTTCAGGACCATGACTTCTTCACACTGTAATCTGATATGGGCCACATATAAATAATAATGTGAAACAGCTAAGCAAAAAAAAATCTAGGCTATGGCTGGATGCAGGAATGAAATGGAGGTTAAAATCAACTGAAATACTTTTTAAGTAGTAAAAGTACTTTAAAGAGTAAAAATATGAATAAGAAACTTAGGTTTGTGCTTCTGTGAAAATATATTTTTTGTTTATTATGTTTTAATTGATAGCTATGTGAGTTATTTGACACATCACTCGCCAAACGTTGCTGCCCCTTTACCTTTCACCTGTCTCACCTCTACAGCTTCCCAGAGGACATGCGCAATAACAAATTCCCGGCGCTGTCCATTGTGCTGAAATGACGCGCTGTAATTGGATCGGCCAACAGGTAGGATGAGGCCAAAAAAAAGAAAGAAAATGAAGCAAACATCTGCTATAGCCTATATGGCGCTGGTTATGCTCAAAAGTGCATCAGTGGATTGGATAAGCATTACATAATTCATAAATTCCGGTCAGTTTTCATTAATTACCACTTTGTTGGCTCATCTATCTATCTAACATTCATCCTTTCCACTTGGGTGCGCGCAGTGTAAGGTAAACACTTTGCAGCGTCACTTGGACAAGTGTTCATCCCCCCTTACAACATCCTCCTCTCCATGCGCGGCACAAGCATCCTGATGTGGAGGTGATGAGTGGGGTTTTTTTTTTCTCTCCCCCCTCTGTGCTTTCTTCTCGGGCTGCTGCACAGCTGCTGCTTCTTTAAGAGCCACCGCCCGCCCCCTCTCCTGTATTTTTAGCTGAGCCAGCCACTTCATTTGCTGGATAAGACAGACAGTTGTGTACCGTATGATCTCACTTAATCGTTTTAATAAATCAAATCTTATACTGCGGATTCACCGGGGGGCCTACAGCCAGCTGTTCCCTGGAAATGTCGTATAGGGTAGAGATTTGTCCCGCCGCTGTCGGATGCTGAAACGCGCCATCAGCCTGTGGATGCTTGATGTCCATTATGAAACGCAATGCTGCATTGGGTACCGAATATGAGGCGCAGCGCTTTTGCGATACAATGAATCACAAGAAATCAGTTTAGCTGCAAAATAGTCCTGTGGTGCGGACGGTTCAAGGTGGTCCAGCATCTTTTCTACTCAGCCCTCTGCTTCCTGTCTTCTCTCGGATTGTGGATAACAAGAAGGCTTCAAGACGGAGGGGGTGGTGGAGCATCGAGGAAAAAATAGGGGCAATATGAGAGAGCGGGACTTCATGCCCAATATGGAGAGGGGTAAACCTGCTACTTATACGGGGGACAAAAAGGCTAAGATGGCTGCTAAGACTAACAAGAAATGGGTGAGACTAGCCACTGTTTTTGCATATGTATTGTCCGTGTCCTTAGCAGCCATTATCCTGGCGATTTACTACAGCCTCATCTGGAAACCTACCAGTGCATCCTCTTCTGCGGGGAAGCCGGGGGTGCCCAATGAGGTCACCCCCACCGCAAACATCTCAACTAATTTTTCCACAAGCAGCAATGTCTCAGAGTGGAACTCTACACAGACAGGGCTGCTATCTCTCAACCAGACCACGCAGGGGAAAGGACTCTACGGTCACCCGAGCGTGGAGAGATCGGACACTTCGGGCAGGCAGACGCACACGTCCGAAGCCCGAGTGAACCACTACATCCCGTCAAGCACCGCGGAGTCTGGCGCTGCGCTCAAGGAGGACGAGGGGGAGAGGGACGCGCACAACCGCGACCCCAACCAGGCGGCTGCAGATGCTGCCACTGTTCCTCCAACCTCCCCGACGAGCCGAGCCGGTCCCTGAGAGGAGACTGATCGGGCCTCATCTCCACCACCACCACCACAACCCCCCTGTCACACATAAACTGACCCCAACATGGAGTGTTTTACAGACTCAAAGCCGCAGGTCGGATAACACACATGGTCTTGTTCTTTAAAGTCGTTTTGCAGAGCTTCTAATGGATGCTGGACTGCACATATGAACTGATCTCGCTCTGAATCCCCCGTGGCTAAGAAAAGAGGAGACCTTGCTTCTTCAATGAACACTGTTTCCCCTTCAACACCAACTATGCTTTTTTTTTTTTTTAGGCCATCTGTATGCCTTAAATCGGTGTGAGTCTACTTTACCTCGGACAGCTTCTGAGTCCACTAGCCTGCCTGTACAAGAGTGGCATAGATATTTTGTTAAATTAATAGGACACAGGCTCCAGAGATGCTTTTTGGTTTTACAGGACATATATATGTCTCACAGGCACACAACGCTTAACATCACTGCCATTCATCGGCTGGCCTAGATCAATACTGCATTACTGCATTTTACCATAGGCTGTATTTCTTTGTCATGGATCAAACCTGGATTCCGAGTAGAAGAACCTGCATTATTGAGTTATGCTCAGGTATGTGCATATAACCATGTAAATGTATTGTGTATTTGGTTATGTACATATAGGGCAGGCATACATCTTTTTGGCCTAGATGAACTTTTAGTGTAATTAGATGATTTTTATTAAAGGTACAGTATGTATAATAGGTATAACTATATCACAAGGTACAAATAAACATCCTTAGAAAATGATTCATTTCTATGGTTTTATAATAGATCTGTGTAAATCATGAATTAATCACTGAAATTATCCTGTATGTTGATGATATTTTATTTATTCAGAGCCAGAATGGATAATATATATTCAAATAAATGTTAGGTTTTTCCTAACATCTTCCAAACTGAAAGGTCCAATTGATTTAAATTAACTGTGGTTCACTTCAGACTATTAAAGGAAAGTAGAATGTGCAAAACCCACATTCATTGATTGATATGAAGCAGCAGTATCAACAGAAATAATAATAACCATACAGATACAAAGAGCACTCAGTTTATGGTCATTCCCGTGAAATTTCGATGGGGGGGCGCTTTAAACACCTGATGGAAGGGTCCAGTGTGTGATCAGAGGGACTGTCTGCTCCTCGTGTAAAGAGAAGCATTCATCTCCCCAGTCTGCCACAGTTCAGTCGCTGCAGCTCTCACTCGAACCACTTCACACAGTCACATGTGGTGAACTATGAAGTGGAAATAAGACCAACCACCCCGTGCGCTCTCTCAGCAGCATGTGAGGGAGGTGTATTGATTTGAGAGCTCTGTTGCTGCACTGTACAAAACAGCAAGGAACACATTACACAATACTGCTTGGTGCTATTTTAAACCAAAAAGGACTGTTTGCCTGAAAGGTTTGGTTTCCATGCCGGCGGTGACAAGCATCATTCACTATCACACCGAAAATAAAACAACTTGATTCCCGCTGAGCAGCCAGTGCTTCTACGATGTGATATAAATAGTAATGACATGCAATGTTGTGTTTATATGACAGATTTTCAGAACCAAAGCCAAGGTATGTGTCTGGTGAGCTAAACAGGAAGTCCATTCATCAGGGAAGACAGCACAAGACACAAACATCCCCCATCATCACAGCACAAACCATGTGTGCTGGAAAAATGTAATACAAAGTGTGCATAACACAATGACAGACCTGTCAATGCCGCTGTTGCCTCTGTATATACTTAGCACGGCCTTGACAGATGTGTTTTCAGTGCCTCTTGTGGCTTCTTGTAATGTATGAGAGGAGTAATGACCAACCTATTGATGAAGGAATTCATCAGCCATGACAGTTATTGCTGGAGGCTACAGCTGAGTCAGGACACAGCATCTGACCTTATGACTCTTGAAAGCAGTCACCAAGGCAGATGATTACATTATCTGATGTGAAATCAGTCATATGTTACATTAGAGTGCAGTATAGGATTAATTTGTTTTGTGGCTCAAGCCAGGTAATGGATTACATTGCATAGTTTCTTTAAACAGGAAATACATTGATCAAATCCTTAAAAAAGCCAGTTGTCACAGCTGCTTACCCTGTCATTTGTGTTTAACAGATTTCAGCTGTATTGCTCAATTTAATGCCAAATCTAATGCCAAAAGCAAAACAATTGCACCATCCACCAGACAAATGAGACAATGTACAGTAAGACTGACTATATAGGAAGATTTGCTGCGATTTATAATGCTAATAATGTAAATTAGCACATGCATAAACATCCAACCATAGAAAAATGACCTGAATTGTGTCTGATACACTTTTAGCTCAATTCCCTAGTTTAAAAAATCTGCAAATTACATCCACTCTTTTGTCCTTATTAAAAAACCCTGAACCTAATGGGCACATACGTCATTCTGCAAAGCGAAGCTCAAACATCCAAATGAAGTGACAGTAAACAAAACACATTTTTGAGTGGAGGGGGCTTTAAAGTTCTGCTTCTCAGAAAACTATTCTCTTCATCAGATGTGACATGTTTGGGGGTGACACATTACAACCAAGAGACCTTTTCAGCAAAGCCAGAGGAATTAAAGACCTTTCAATATACCATTCTTTGAGCGAGACGGCATCACAAAAGTTATGAAATATTAACATGAAGTCCTGCAATACAGGAGAACAATATGAAGGCAGTGAACAATTTTTCAATTAATAAAAGGGCAAAAGTGTGGAGTGATGCATAATAAAACAAAAGTAAAGCTGTGTGTATACTTGGGAACTGTGTTGTCATCTTTCAGGGAGTGTATAATGTCGTAATGTCGTAAGACTTTTTTAAAAATAAATTTTTAAATCATTGCTAGTTTGTAGTGCTAAAATACTGTGTGACACTCAGGTATACAATAGGTAATCAGTAACTGTAATTCTATGAAGCTTATGATAACAATGTATTCGTAAGGAAATGTCACAGAACAAAACATTATATTGAAAAAAAGGCTTTGTTTATACAGACAGGCTTTCGAAGGCTTTGATTACAGGGTGCTAACACAAAGAACCAACCTCAGATCAATATGTCAGACAGCACGGTGACACCTTGTCAGCCTAGCCTCCTGTCTCCAGGCTGGCGGGGTGGGGGGTGGGGGGTGCACAGCCTCTGCTTAATCAGGGCAGCTGCTGAGGCGTGGTTGTTACATCCTGAACCATGCCAGGCCCAGGGGGATGACGCACAAGCTCAGTGGGGACTGCCAACCTGCCTGTGTGAGGTTCTGTCAGGGTCGCAGGGCCAGGCCAGACCTCGGTTCCACTTAACCTACATCAATCAACTGAAATGAAACACCTCGAGAACCTCTGGCGTTGCCTCACTGTGTTTAAAGCATATGAAGCAAATAGATGACCCCATTTAGCTTGAAGCTTGAAGCAATAGTTCAACATTTTGGGAAATACGGTTATTCACTTTCTGAATGTAGAACATTGATATCACTGTTGTATCTATCCAGTAGATACAATATTACAGCCAGCAGCCCATTAGCTTAGCTTAGCACAAAGACTGGAAGCTTGGAAGCAGCTAGCCTGGCTCTGTCTACCATCGCCTCTAAAAAATAAAAATAAAATTCTCTGTAAATTCACTAATTAACAAAATATATCTGTTTTTATTCATTCGAATAAGACCTGACGTGTAAGAAAGACAGGTTGTGGTATTTACCAGAGGTATGTGCCGGACTATTTCTTGGCCAGAGGCAGTGAGGAGTCTTATACTTACTGTGATGTTGACAAGATACAACATGTTGTAAGCACTTATGTCTCATATTTTCTTTTAAACAAATTCTCTAAGCACTTGTACTGTAGCACTGAATATCCTTTTAGTTATGTATAAAAATAGATACGCTGTTTTGGGTGATACCTAGCTGTTTACGACACAAAGGTATCTGCCAAAGGAATGTAATGTAATGTAAATGTAATGATAAGTGAGCTTTAGAGGTGCTGGTAGGTGAATTTTGTTATCTTTGCACAGAGCCGGTTTATAGTATTGATGCTAAGCTAAGCTAATTGGTTGCTGGCTGTACATTCAAATTCATAAGACATGAATGAAAATGGTATCAATCCTCCCGTCTAACTGTTATTGCAGTTTGAACTATTGCTTTGTACTAATCCCTAAATCATTATGCAGTTAAACGTTAACCCCGAGCATCATCATATCCAGATTTAGTGACAGTATTTAGGAGTATGTATGTCTCCGAGCCACAAATTTCTACCACAGCACAAAAACAAAAAGCCACACACAAACAGGATCCTGTGTGATCTACTATGACAGGTCTCAGCACTACCTTGCTTTAAAGCTGCTTTGAGCTCTTTTTTTAATCTTTCCTCAGGAAGGCACGCTTCTGAAGCCTCTCTCCACTGCAGAGTGCAGCTGACATAATCCTACACTGCACTTCAATCCTCTAACACAGCCTACAGGACTTATTTCCATAATATCAACTCCCCCACTGTAGTGTACTATTGCGTCAGACCCTTCAAACTAACTAAGCTATCTTACAAAGTGAACCAGGAGTGTTATAGACTGTGTTTTATAATACCATTTGCAGGAATCAAAAAGTTTTGGGCTGAAGAAAACAAGTTTTCAAGGAGAGTGAGGCTGCTGATCTCTCTGTACAGACGGACAAAAGCCTCAGTGGCAGAAGGCTGCTATGGAGACAGCCTTGGGAGGAGATAATTAAAATAGTAGCACCTATGGGAGGTCCCACCTGTAGGGCCGAGAGGGAGCCGTTTCCAATGTAACAGCCCAGCAGAGAGCTCATCTGAAATTAATCAAATGCACCATGAAGGCAGACTCAGGGGACCGAGGCATAACTATATGGTCTGTTGATGCCGCAATGTGCTCTACATTTCTGTCTCAGCTGCCCTTCCTTCTCTCTGAGACTTACTAAAGTGACCTTATTTTTCTCCAATGACATAAAAACTCCCCAGAGGTAGAATTCATACACATTTGATATTACAGGTGCATGAGTCAGTGAGAGACAGGGGAGGGATAGGGTAAGAGAGGGTGACAGTGAAACAAAACGATTGCCAGTCATAATTTGAGTTTGAAATACAGAAAAACTTTATTGATAGTCTGTATGACTCCTTCCAAACGGTTCTACAGTAAATGAAGCTATGTTGCACACAGATTTTAATTAGCATGAGCACTATGAACGGTAAAAAGCTGGGATCACACCTTGACACACGCTCATACACGAGCACTCACAATCATTCCTTCATCATGAAAGTATGTGAAAACATGGAGGACAGCAGTGGACACCCAAGTGGAGCAAGACAATTGTAACCACCCCTTGAATGTGACATTTAAGCGAGGGGACAATGCAGATGTCTACTAACTAAATGAAGTGCTAAACAAGGACAAATGTACAACTTCTCTATGGTTGTAGGTCCTAAATTTCATACAGGGAATTTTAAATATTTCAGAGGTAATCTGTATTTTCCAACAGATGTTTCATTTACCATCCATTAAAATTCCATATATAATATAGAATAAGGCCCATTTTCAAAACAGCACAACATCCTTCTTGATGGCTGGACGGGCCTCAAACCGTGTGACTCGTGTCTTGATTTTCCCAGTGTGCTTCTAGTAGATTCCTGATGATTTTTATGTAACCACAGTTTAAGCAGACCAGGCCCTGCAGCTCAGAGCATGTCCACTATGTTCTCTACTGACTGGTTACATAACTGTTTACTATACTGTAGCGTTGACAAAAGCCAAAAACTTCTTTGAGGAGTTCTTGTAAGGCTTCTCATTATAGTTGCCACTTGATACCAATAATAAAATAATTGGCAATAAATAAATACAAACAAATCCATACATGTCACAGAGAATAAACAGCTACTATAATGCACATAAACATTGTTTTAGAATTGCAAAAATCCTTCTAGTTAACATTCTGTTGTCCAAATGGAGAGGCAAATAAATAAAATCAATAGTGAAGTTGCACTGTTAGTACAGTACATTTAACACTACTGTATGTTATGATACAAAGCATGACATAAAGGTACACCTTCAGTATATGAAGAAGCCAATATGCAAGGCACAACAACTGGCTAAATTCTTAATTAAGCCTTTCAAAAAATATTAGTTGTCTTTCGTGAGAGAACAAATTACAAAACAAAGCTGAAGGGGAATAACAGCTGAATCCCAGTGTTTTGACTGTGAATTAAAGGCTGAACGCTCGTGGACCTGGATATTTTCAACATCTCAAGAGTGTCGGCCCCACAGGGGCCTTAACAGAGAACAAGGTTGGAGGCTGTTATGTACCTGGACTCTTTAACACTGGGTGCTTAAAAACAGCATGAGCAAACTATTACAGAAAGTAATGTACTTCCCAAATTTAGTTTGTGATTAGTCTTTTCGATTTCATATCTCTGTCTATTGTTTAAATTTGAGAAACTACAGGCATACATTACAATTACATATTAAATGCTTAGAAGCAGATCTGTCTGTCTGTCAGTCTGCGGAAGACTAGATAATTGGGATCCAGCTGTAAATAAACTCTAAAACAATAACAATGTGTTAAAGGGCAAGTTTGAGATTTTGGTGCCACAGTGTCACTGATTACTTTTTAAAACAGCCACATATTTTCATATCAGTAATGTGGATTCTCCTATTAGCTGACTAAAATTAAAGGGGCACTCTATCAATTTCTAAATCTACCTCGATGAAATTGGAGAGACAGATTACAATAAGAATAGCCTAAATCTATGTAGCCTAAAACATCCTGACTTTTAGTCCCTAGTATGGGTCAAGTTCCAAAAACACTGGATACTTCATTTCCCATAATCCAACTTGATAGCATTTCTTTGTTAGATCATCTCTGTCGGGAAAACATCACACCCCGAGTTTGTATCGTTGACGTTTCATGATCATTTTGTGATATGACATCAATATAACATCATCAGGGTTATTATGTCAGACTTTATTAAGCTCCTCCAGAGTCACAGAAGAAGAGTGGCCCTTTAAATGTTCTTAATAACAAAAACATTTATGTCACTAGTGATATTTTAGAAATGTCTTGGTCAGTGGCCAATAAGACAATGAGTCTCAAATGTGCCCTTCAATAATGTATTGATTAGCAATTTGTGACTGATGCTGGAAGCAGTTAATAAATAATATCTACTCACAAGTTTTGAGTGTAGAAATACAGACTCTACTGTAGGTCTGTCACTAATCTATTGTCATATAATACAGGCTTCCTTTCATTTATTGAAAATACCTCTGAGGAAGAGTCAGGCACTAGATAATTTGACTGTGGCTGTTTATTAAGTTTATTTTCAAGGGCTACCTATGTGTAATTGATTAGCTAGCCTCCTGATATGTAGCTTGAAATTTTCATACAAATGTAAACATTCAATGATATTGCACTCAAGCAGCATACAAACATACTGAATAGTATGTCAGCACACGTACTTTAATACTCATAAAGTGCTTGGATGTAAAAAATATTTGATTTTGCAGGCAAAACCATTCCTTCGTCAAATTTTAGATATTGGAAAACTTCCACAAGTGGGACACGCCACAGCAAAATTAAACCATGGTTTTGTGTGTAAGCCATAAACAGGGTATCTCAAGTGAGATACCTGAAGCAAAATGATGCATCCAAAAACAAAGAGGCAAGGCTCTGTGTTACTGTGATTTGGCTTCAGTATTTACATCCCAAAAATGTCAATCAAACAATCTTCCCATGCTCTCTTGCCTGCAAAAAAGAGAGAGAAACATACACAAAAGTATTAGTTACAACTAACTTCTTTTCCATAATTCACATAGCCAGTTTATTCATCTGATTCCCACCACTTCTCTTTTCTACATGAATGATTTAAGCAGGCGGTTATATATTATCAATCTGTTTCAGTGGTGGATGAGATGAAGAGGCATTCTCTCATGAGACTATTTCTCCTGCACTCCAACAGGCCTCAGAGGTGGTGAATACACTTAAACCCGAAATTGGATATTACACAGCTGCACTGCAGATATACTGCCTGTCTCTCTCTTCATCCATTTAACTCGTCATTCATTTGCACTTCTCTCCATCGGCCCATTTACACATCTATTGATTCTCCCATCCCTCTTCCTGTCTCTCACACTGACCTTGTCACTGCTGGTGGAGTGTGTTGGGTGTGTCTCTCCTGACTCCAGGCTCAGGACTGACAGACCAGACTCTATTAGTTCCTCTTTGGAAGAAAAATTAGCTTCGTTATATACCATCCAGATGTAGTGTCAGAAAAAGTCAGGGCTACTGAAGCTATTGCGTACCTGTGTTTGTGTTGCTGATGTTGCACTTGGCAAGCTCTACAGGCTGGACAGAGGTCTCCTGTAGAGAGGCACAGGCTTTTTCAGGGGAGAGGGAGCTCGGAGCTGTGGAGGGGGTGCTGTCTTTTTTAGTACATTCGGTTTCAGAGGCCTGCTGCTGGGCAACAGGAGGAGCAGACGGACCACCTCCTTGATCCTGAGGACTACCATCATCCTGCTGGGCACTTTCAAGAGGCTGATGTGGCCTTTGCACTTCAGGTTGGGTTTTTTTAGGTGAGGAAGCTTTTAAGAAGCTCAGACTTCTTGATTCTGAGCTGGCAGAGTCCTGGGAGCCTGTGGTTTGCTTTGTGTGAGTGCCCTGGACGAGTTCTTCCGAGAAGTGTACTTTTTTCTCTGAACCCCGAGGGGACGAGGTCTCTGCCTTCCCCTGAGTGGGGGTGTCCTCTCTCAGGGTAGCAGCTGGCACGGGAGCAGTGGATCCACTCACCTCCTCAGATGCACTCAGTGAATCTGGGCTGGGCGACAGCTTCAGTTTTGAGTCGTGATCTTTCAGATCTTCTACCTCAGCATCTGTGAGGGCGTCGAATTCCTCCAAGAATTCCTCTAATGTTGTGTCAGACGTCTAGAGGATGAGATAAGAACAACAAATAAGGTTGGTGTTTTTTTTTTTGCTTCTTTAGTAACATTAATTGACAAATTCATATTTACACTCATACAGGTTTGATATCTCACCTGTAGGTTCTCTTCGTCTTCATTTGCCTGCCATCTAAAAAATAAAGGTACTTTTATCAAAAGATTTTCTGTAATGTGTTCTTCTTGTGTCCATTATGACATACTCCATAAAACTCCATAAAAAGGTTAAAGAAATAGCTGGAGGAAAATGTTTGTTAGATGAGAACACTGATACTCTCATATATGAATAGTAAATATGAAGTTACAACAAGCAGCTACTTAGCTTAGCATAAAGAAAGGAAACAGGTGAAAAGAGCTAGCCTGGCTCTGCACTGAGGTAACAAAATCTGCCTTCCAGCTCCTCTAAAGCTCACTAATCAACATGTTATGTCTCATTTGCTAAGCTAACCATCTCCTGGTTGTAGCTTCATATACCGTGGAGACATGAGAGTGGAATCAATCTTCAATCATTCGGCCAGCTATGACGACAGCACAGCCTGACAACTAGAATATGCTAGGACACACCTGAATGCTGTTTAGCATTTGTCCCCTGACCCTTACCTACAACCATCACTGACACACATGGAGAGAAAACCATCTGGTGCATTACACTGTCACACTCAGAGGTCATAATGCCTCACTTCCAGGTCTGTGGCCTTGTGGCTTTTTGAGGTTATGAGCAATGCTTGTGTAACACACACTGAAAGCCTCCTCACCATCCAGCACAGTAGCTTGTTTCACAACAGAGGAAAGCTGGAGGAGAAAAAACGATTGTAGTGAGACATGAATGAGGCCTTCCGGGTTATTTAGTCAGCTGCCCCAACTTCTAAATCAAGTCTCATGACATGGAGGGGAATTTGTACATTAGGCCACAGTGCAGGAAAACAACACAAATTCCCACATTTGTTTCATGTATTTCATTAGTCATAGCGTGTTTTTCTCCTAACCCTAACCCTTAGTTGAGGCTGTGGTTGGAGAGACCCAGATGGTTAAATCAACTTTAACATCCAGCTGTTGTGTGCGTGGCACTAATGTTTATGATGTTTGGCCGTTACTGACCTCCTGGCTCTCCCAGTCAGACGATCTATGCCTTTTGCTTTACTGCTCATCACCAGCACATTTTTAGTTCCCTTGTCTTTGCCTCGCTTCTCGTGACCTAGAACAGAAGAATACTGAAAGTTTAACACAATTAAATTACATTTTACATTAAAGACATTACTCTTTCTGCTGAGACAACAGTATATCTTTAAAGGGAAACTCTGGTATTTTTTCAACCTGGACCCTATTTTGCCATGTTTTGTGTCTGCCTAAGTTATGGTTTTAAAGGGTTTAAAACACCAACGTCACACAATAACACAAACTAACTGAAATAACGGCTGTTTCTGGTTAAAACGAAAAGGACCTCTTTAACTAAAAGGTCTGTCTCTGTAGGGATTCTTTCCGTAATGTTGTCAGAGACCTAGAATAACAACATCAGCCCACTAAAAGCCCTTTTAGTGGACTTTGACGGTACGCAATTGCCCCAAAGGATTGTGTTGCAGCCCGTTTTACAGCTGCCGACTGCAGCCCTCACTCAATACTAGACCAATTTCAAAAAATGTTGTCTCCATTAGTCACTTATAAACATGGGAAAATAGGATCCAGCTTGAAAAATACAAAAGTTTTCCTTAAATGGTTTCCTCGCTGTGTGGGCTAAAGTGTCTTTGAATTTCAGAAAAAAAAATATAGATTTTCGAGCCACCCCCAACGTTATCTGCCTATCTCTTCCTGGCTGATATCCCACCAGTTTACCCAGTTTAATGAATCCCACATGAATTGCGTCCTACATTATCCTGTTTCAACTTGAAAAATGAGAATGAGAATGCTGCTTCACTGAGACTTCAGAAAATATATATAATATATAATTAATATATAATATATATATAATTCAGCTTCTCTGTACGCTATATAATGAATTTGAAGCACTGAACTAATGAATAAATAATAATTAAGCACTAAGATACCTCTTGACTCAGCACCCGCCCTGGATTGTCCTCGTCTAGCATTTCGTCCACCTGGAATAAACATAATGCATCATGTTAACATAATATTTTGATGTGAAAGAATTTTTTATTGCTTGTGCTCTTAGTTTGGACTGTGTGAATTCCTCACCTCTGCTAGAAGGCCCCCAGTCTCTGTCAGGGAGGGATTTGTCTGAAAACCTAAAAGCAGAGCTTCAGTTTGGGCAGAAACACAAACCAATGCAGACAGTGTATTGGTTATTTCTCAAAATAAGTTTTCCTTTTTTGTTCAGGTGACATAACAGCACATCTCCACCCTGATCAACAAGCTCTTCATTTATTATTGGCCTAAAATGTGAGATTTTGCAGAATCAGTGAGAGGTTTTGCCTCATGAGTCACACCCTTGAGTTTTACATCCAGTGAGACCATCTAAATTGTTGAATCAGAAAAACATTTCCTCTTCTATTCTTACTCTAGGGCCTTGTTTAAGCCTCACCAAATAAGGCATGGCATCCATCCCTTATCCCAAGCCAAAAATAGCTGCTCCTCCCTTGTCTCTTTACATTTTGATGCTCCCTTAAACAGAACATTGATTTACTCTGCAGCTTGGTCATTCTTTGTACGACAGCCGGGTTTGTTTGAAATCTAACAAACACTTAAAATGAATGGGGAAGCTGTGATCAAACTAAGTCTTGAAAATGTGAGAATGCACAAAGTAGTACATACTGTTAAATGATTGCACCACCAAATAATTATGTTTCAGGCAAATTGTATAACAACATCCTGTGACTTGATGAGATTTAGTCTTGTGATCATGTGGCAGGACATGTAGTCCAGATACCTCATCTAATGGATTCTTCCACTGAATAAACTAACTAGAAAGAAGGCTGCTCGTGAGAAAGCGTTTCTCTAACTTCAGGATAAAAAGAAGGGGAGAGAAGCAACATTGTGATTATTTAAAAAACTATTAACTAATGAAGCTAGTAACTTAGCAGACCACATTCAAATAAAGTTACTATGTGTATTATGACAACAGTATCTTTTAGGGAAATATGCTAATTCACTTTCTTGCAGAGCTATAGATGAGAAGATTGATACCGCTCTCATGTCTGTCTGTTAAATATGAAGCTACAGCCAGCAGACAGTTAGCTTAGCATAAAGACTAGAAACAGGGGCATTAGCTACCCTGGCTCAATCCTAACCAGGATCTTCAATGCTGATTATGAACATGTCTCTAGTTAGGGGTGCTTGTTCCAGCATTTAACCACAAATCCTTTTCATTTTATTTCATTTTTACATTTCTTTTTTAAGATATCTTTTTTAAACAAACAAGATATAACATGTTAATTAGTGAGCTTTAAATGTGCTCGTAGGCTTTTTTTTCTCCTTTGGACAGAGACCGACTACCTGTTTCCAGCCTTTATCCTGCTTCCTTTATGCTAAGCTAAGCTAGATTGCTGCTTCTCATTACGTCTCAGTGAGAAAATGAATACACGTATTTTCCAAAATGTTGAACTAAAAAAGACAATCTAAGGGGGGGATTATTGGCACTATGCCAACATTATTAAAGGTTAAACTAATAGGATGAAGAAACATCTTATTTTATAAAACACTAAATAACTATCTACTATCTATCTCTACTCTCCTTCAACAAGTACCGACAAGTGGCCCTTGATAAGCATTTTATCCCCTATTGCTCAGTGGCCAACGGGAAGACTCTGTGAATGTGAAGCTGTGCATTGCTGGAGAAGATTAAATATGATCAGTCAATATTTCCTAGACAAATATAGATTAGAAAAGGCATAAAAATAGAAAATGAAATACCACCCAGAGGAACAGCTGTAAGAAATCATCAGACATCAGCACATGAAGTGCCCGGGGAAGGCTAAGTGCTGAGAAGTCTTACATGTTCTCGGTTTTGTCCATGTCCCACGCCCGTCTCCACTGGCCCTTGGCATTTTTGTGACGTGCCACTCTCTCCCTGTCAATCTGCTCACGCTCTTTCTTCCACCGCAGATACTCCTCCTGCTCCTCTTTCGACGTGGGGATGTTGAGGTCTGTGCTGGCCTGTGGGCTCTCAGGCTCCTTAGCAGAAAAACAGTTCATTGTATTTTCATGCATAAAAACAATAAGCCCTCTTCATGTAGATTTATATGATGGCACTGCCACTCATTAGTAATGAAGCACTGGCACTGAAACATGACTGAATCAGAATGCACGCACACCACTCGTAGTGTCACATTATAATACATCTGAAGCATCACTCTACACACTAATCAGAGCAGTGAAGGGAACAAGCTCAACAATGGGCTCACATTAAGCATTGGTGGTCATAAACAAGAACAGCTTATCATCTCTGAACAAATAATTCAACAGCAACAGGGCAATATACAGACCAGAAGGGTTCAAAAGAAAGGGAACGAACAAGGATATTTCTGGTATTTTCAAATATTCTACATTACTGTAAATCCCATTTGATTTCAAATAGCTTCTTATTTGTCTACCGTGATGACTGCAAGGCAACACAATCAAATTCTTTGAGACAATATTCCGGGAAAAGTGCAGCTTACAATAAATGCAATTAGGTCCGCTTCCCCTCTTAACCTGTTTATTGATGACTGTGATGAGAGCAGAAAATATTGCTTAAGACTGTAATCCTAAACTGAGAGCTGATGTAGGCTCTTTAACACATCAAAGGGGACAGAGGCTGTGTGCTCTTGTTACAAAGTGCTGGAGCGAATCAGGACTGCAAACACTGCTGTGCTTGCTCCAAGGGAAATCACATAAAACACCAGTAATCTCAGAGAGAGAGTGCTCATCAGTGCTTGGTTTGTTATACAGCAGGAGGGAGATGATGTTTCTTTCTAGAGAAAAATAAAAAATTGCTTGAGAGAAAAAAAATCAACATGCAGCTCATGCACATTATGTCAGACGGAGAAAAACATCACAGTGCCGGTAAGAGACCATGATGGGTGATGTTTTCCCCTCAGGTGTGGACCAATCACAGCCAAGTAAACATGTTGCCTTCCTGTGTGCAGTTATTGGAGAACATGACATCTGTGCTCATCCCTCTGTTTTCCATCTTCTCTCCCCTCCCTCTTCTCTTCCCCCCTCGGAGGACCTCAAGGGCCACAAGGGAAGGTGCTTCTCGCATGTTCCAACAGGCTGTGCTCTGCTGCCACCCCAGCCGCCCTGCTAATTAGCACTTTTCAATTTTTCGCCTACATGAGGCCTCGCAGGGAGGTTGTCAGGGGCCAAAGTAGGTGGGGTGGACGAGTCTAGCGAGGGCTAAGAGAGAGGGACTGCGTGCAAATTTAGATTCAAGATTGAGAAAGGGCGAATAAGAATGAGCATGCTCTTATTCTGGACTCCTTAACAGCTTCTTCTCCTCCTTCAAGGCTGCACTGGTTTAGGCCTGAATATGCCAGAAGAGGTTTACGATATATTTGTTAATCAAAACAGCTAACAAAGCCAAGGGTTGTCTGACCTTTACCTCTTACACAAAAAACACCTGAAAAAAAAAAAAAACCCAACTCAGCTTGGTATTTCCTTGAGCACTCGCTCGGCTCGCAGGCACAGAGAGGCATGAACAGCATCACTTGTCATGTGGCGTATTCGGTGGGCCTTTGAAGCCCGTCCTCCCTGCTTACCATTAGCCTGTTTATTGCACGTCTGATCTGCGAGACAGCTCTGAGCTACTCCAGCAACGTTAACACGTGAGCCAGCGGGAGGCAGATGGGGACAAGCACTAGAAAAGGG